GTAAGATGAACATAACTGGGTGTATCCCAAATTCCAAACCAAAACGAAATAAACAAAACAAAACATCAAAGGGCTGAAGTGATAAAACAGTGGTAGGACATTTGCTTTGTAAGAGTCCAACCCGGGCTTGATCCTGGGTACTTCATATGGTCCCCCAAGTCCACTAAGAGTGATCCCTGAGTGCAGGGTGTAAGCCCTAAGCACTGCTAGACGTGGCCCAAAACCAAATTAACAAAACAAAACAAGAACAAAACAAGTAAAACAAAAAGAGCCATTGGGTTCAGGGAAGGTACAATGACCTCAAACAGTGCCCAAGAACTTTTCCTCAGAAGGGAACATTTGAGCAAAACTAAGCCAAATTTCCCTTTTGTAGCTTCTGAACAATGGGACCACATTTAGGACAACCAAGTAAATTACAGAATCACAGTAGGATAACAGTCTAATTAACTATACTGATTTCAAAACAATTTAAGAAATATTTTGGGGGTTTGGGGCTGGGAAAGCTAGGGGTTTGGATGACACTCAATTACTTCTGGCTCTGTGCTCAAATAATTTTCCTTGCAGTGCTTGGGGGAACATAAGTGTCAGCCATGAAATCGGTGTCAGCCATGTCCAAGGCAAATGTCTTAGGCCCTGTACTAACTCTCTGGTCTCTCACAAGAAATGTTTTGATAAATAAGGAAAGATGATTTGGGAGGCCATCAATCTAGTACACAACCTTAATCTGAAGATATCTCTAGAGGGATTGAAAAACCTAATGATTTAGATCATAGCCAATCTTAAAATTCAGTACTATAATTCAAATACACTTCAAAAAAATACAGTCAGAAGAAATGGAAAGAAAACAACACTAACAGATCAGTAATATATGAATCACAGACAGTGAGAGTCTAAAGTTAGGTCCATCTATGACATCACTGAGGCCAAGCAGATTCAGAACACAGCACCACTAAGATGGACCAATCTTCCACAAAAGGGTCACTACTTACAAATAGCCTACAGAATGTTAAGAAATTTATTTTCAACAATTTTCTAATATAGCAATCAAATTCTAAATTACCATAACCTCTGCAACAGTTTCTATCCTTAAGTCAAAAAAATAAACACGCTGGGGCTGGAGCGATAGCACAGCGGGGAGGGCATTTGCCTTGCACGTGGTCGACCCGGGTTCGATTCTCAGCATCCCATAGGGTCCCCTGAGCACCGCCAGGAGTAATTCCTGAGTGCAGAGCCAGGAGTAACCCCTGAGCATTTCCAGGTGTGACCCAAAAAGCAAATAAATAAATAAATAAATAAATAAACAAGCTGTTTCCTCTAATGATTTCAGAGTTACTATTTATTCATTTTTTATAATTTTAATTATTCATTTTGGGGGGGTGGCATACCCAGCACTGTTCAATAGATATCCCTAGCTTTGTGCATCGACCTCTGGCAATATTGGGGATTGAACCCAGGACAGCAGTTCAGTGCCTTAACCCCTGCACTATCTCTCCAGTCTAATAGTTTAGATTCTCTGATTCTGCTTCCAAAATTTAATAAATGCTCATTTTTATTAGGAAGTTTCTCCTAAATATTATAATTTAAAATATGACTAGAAATATTCCAATACTGTAGTGGCAGCTAACACTGAATTAGTGAACTCATTATTTCATATGTTCTGCCTTATACAGTTCTATATTCCATACACTGAACTATCACTTTTATTTTCTCATGTTCATGCAATTTTCCTAAACTTATGCATGCCCTTTCCTTTTATCCAAAAATTATGTTGCTGGGTATATAGCTACTCTACTTTCCTTATTTATCAAAACAGAACTAGTCTGTTCTAAATGCAACATTTTAAAGAATCTGACTTCTCTCTAAAAAATTTTAAAAAATACAAATAAAACTGAAAATCTGGGGGTGGTTCCAAATAAAAAAACATATATAAAAATTGGTTTTAGAGTTTTTTATTTGCCCTAATTCAGATGAGAAAATTGTCTTCTGTTCCAAGTTTGATATTTTTCCATTTATTGAAATGACTTGATAGTTTTTCTCAATAATATTAATGTGGTGAATTACACAAATTGTTGCATGTTAATCTAAATGTATAACATGTACATCATGATTTAAACTGCTAACATTTAATAAGAATAGTTGTGCACATCATGATGAGGGATATTAGTTTCTAGTTTTCTAGTCATGGTTTTTGTTTAGTTTAGGGGCCACACTGGATGGTGGGGCTTTTGGGGCTACTCTAGGTTCTGTTTCCAACAGTTCTCAGAAGACCATTCAGTGATGGGAATCACACCCAGGCCTACTGCATGCAAAAAAATGTGCTCAGCCTAACTCACTATCTTTCTGGCCCCCTCATTTACCATTGGGTAACAAAGACCTCATTGAATAATAGCATGTATACTCCTTTATTTTTTCTTCAATTCCCTAATAAAGCTGTGCTGATAGAGAATGTTTATTAAACTCCTCTAGAGTTAATTCCTTCCTCTTAAACCTGTGTGTCAATTGTATTAGCAGTGTATTACATAACCTTAATTTTATTAGCCATGCACAAACGGAGCTTTGATTTTTGACTATTCAATTTCATATCCTTACAAAGCACACATAAGAGAAATTACCCAGTATTTCCTTTTATTCTGGTTTGTCACTCTGCATAATTCTTTTGAGCTCATTATAACAGCTGGAATCCCACATTTTTATTTTTTAATAAGTGAAAAGTAGTATTCCATTGTATGACTATATTACATATTTATAGAGTTATCAGTTGGAAATCAGGTTACTTTCAAATTTTAATTATATTAAATAGTAAAAAGACACTGGAGTGGATAAACTTTGAATATTAGTATTTTCATATTCTTTGAAAAAATGCCCAGAAGGGACTGCTGACTTATTTGCTAGCTCTATCTTGAGCTTCTTAAGAAAAGGCCCTCCCGTTGATCATCGATTTGCTCGAGCGGGCCCAGTAACATCTCCATTGGAGACTTTGTTGTTACTGTGTCTGGCATATCGAATACTCTCGGTAGCTTGCCGGGCTCTCCGAGAGGGGCGGAGGAATCGAACTCGGGTCAGCCATGTTGGCTGCGTGCAAGGCAGACGCCCTACCCGCTGTGCTATAGTATTATCTAAAATGGCCCAGCAACTGATAAACCACTAACAGTACTCAAGGATCTACTTTCTCCATGCCCCTCCAATATTTGCTGGTATTGATGCTTCTGGTATAATCTATTCTTACAGGTGTGAGTTGGTATCTCTCTGAGATGTTCTTAACTTACATTTCAGTTATGATGAACAGTTTTATATGCTGATCAGACATCTGTATATCCTCTATAGCGAAGGGTTTATTTAACAATTCTTCTTGTTTTTCAGCTGAGTTTTTTTTTTTTTGCTCTGTGTTAAATTGCATGCATTTTTTACACCTTGGGCAGTAGCCTCTCTATTGGGTACATGTGTATAATAATCTCTCTCATTCAGTAGTTTATGTTTTCATTTTATTTATCTTTTCTTTTTCTATGGAACAGCTTTTCAGTTTAAAATACATTTGTTAACTTTGCTATCAGTCTTTATCTCTAGGAATGCCCTTAATTGTGAATTTTACTTGTCTGATATTGCTATCACCATATAGATTTCTTTATTTTCAGTATTTTAAACTGTGTCAAAAACTAAAATAAAATAAACTGATTGTGTCTTGTTATTTAATATATATTTCTTATAAACAATTATAAATTTTAATCCAGTCTGAAAATCTTTGCACTGTGTTTAAAATATTTAGTCTTGGGCCGGAGTGATAGCACAACAGGTAGGATGTTTGCCTTGCACGTGGCCGACCTGGGTTCAATCCCTGGCATCCCATATGGTCCCCCAAGCACCTCCAGGAGTAATTCCTGAGTGCAGAGGCAGGAATATCCCCTGAGCATCGCTGGGTGTGAATCAAAATGCAAAAAAATAAAAATAAAAATAAAAAATAAATAAAGAAAAAAGATAATAAAGTCAAGGGTTCTTCTTCAAAAAAAAATATTTAGTCTTTTACCATTATAGTAATTTTCAACATGTTTGCATGTAAGCCTGCCATCTTGGTGTTTGATGGCTACTTTTCTAATTTATCCTTTGTTTCTCTGCTTTTCATTTCTTAATTTTGTTTGGGAGAATGGATTATTTTTTATTCATTTGCAATTACATTTCACTTCTCTACTGCCCTTATGCCTTTTGTACTATTTTACCACTGTTTATATACATCTTTAATGTCACTGTATATGTTCAAATATTATAAAATTTCAAAAACAATTTAATACTTTTATGTTTCCAATTAAAAACTCATTGAGTTACATACTGTCACATATATTACCTTTATGCATATTATACCAGTTACTATAATACACTGGGAAAGGTGAAGAGGTATTAAAAGAGAAGGGATATTGCTCACAATTAAGAAAGAAATTAAGAAAAATTAAGAGATATCTTTAGTAATAATGAGTAGGATTACAGAAACATTATGAATGAAGGATTGTTTTTAATTTTGTTTAATCCTTAAAGGAGAAAGTTCCCTTGCTTCCTCTCTAAAATATTTAATTACCATTTATATACTTTATTAAGTGTAGCAGTAGAGCCTGGCAAGCTCCCCATGATGTATTCATCACGCCAAACACAGTACCAAGTCTCACAATATTACTGGGCCCGCTCAAGCAAATCGATGAACAACGGGAGGACAGTACTAGTGACAGTGATTAAGTGTAGGATTAGATTTCTTTCAATGTGATATGATACTACAACCCAACATGAAAGGCAGGGATTGCTTCAGCAATTTTACAATCTAAAAATATACTTGAAGAAAATCTAAATCATTTGCACATATTCAGAATACGTACTAAAAAGTAAGCTGAACTAAAATAAAAATTCATTGGGATTAACAGGCAATTAAATAGAAATGTTAGCATCAATTCTTACCTTTATTTTGCTAGTAATATAGACTTACATACACACATTGACATTTGAATGACAAACTTCCTTACATGATTTGGATTCTGGTGATGGTGGAGAAATATTAGACACAGCAAGATCACTTTTTGATTTTTTAGGCTTCTTTGCATTTAATTGCCATGGCTTTTCATAGTTTCTGAAGTCCCTTCTTGTTCCTTTATGTTCTGTTAAGACAAATAAATATGGATATATATAATTATATATGATTTTAAGACTGAGCAAAAACTAAATACATGAAGTCATTAGACAATTTCAGAAAAACTTGTATATCACTTTTTACCAAAAATAATTCAAATATCCAAAAGTATGCCTTGCTTATTTTCTTTATAAATTTTTGTTTTGAATTTGATAGAAATCACTAATTCATGATTAGGATCACATCAAACTATAAAATTAGGGGCTGGAGCAAGAGTACACTGAGTAGTGTACTTGCCATGCCCATATCACACATGGTACCCAAAGCCCTGACAGGATTGATGCCTGTGCCCAAAACCAGGAATAAGGAGTTCTAACATTCTCCTCCCTGTTTTACTCTCCAATCAAAGGTCATTATGTGTTTATGCTAGTCAGAATCCGAACCCCATGATCTTATTCTGCTGATAGTATACCTTTTAAAATCCCCTCCAGTTGTACGCAGAACAAACCTATGATTTGCTTCAAATCAAGAGATTATAGCAAAGTTCTGGGTTTGTCAATATTATGATTATATTATATAAGACTCCATCTTAGCAGACTTGAGTGTGACATTTTCTTCCTGATGCTAGAGAAGTACCTTTGGTGTTAGAGAGTCAGGTGGTATTGAACTCTATGTTGAATTGCTGAGAGCAGTTTCAGGGTGATATCTAGCAAGTAAATATGTACCTTAGTGATACAACCACCAGAAAATTGACTCTGCCTATAGCCTAAATTATCTTGGAAGCATATTGTTCCTCATTCAAACATTCAGATGAGCAATCAGCCCAGACAATCTTTTAATCTGTAACCTTGCAAGATAATCTAGCTAAATGGTACACAGATTTTTGACTCATGTAAACAGTGAGATACAACATTGTGATAATTAAAGCTGTAATATTTAATATACTACTATATGTACAATATTATAATTTACAGATTTGGACTGAAATGAGTTTCAGTGTGTTTCTAGGTGTTCATCTGTACTAACTTCACATAATGCACCACCTTTAAACCTATAAACCAGAGACTATGCCTTAAAGACTACCCTATTTTTATCTAAATCCAAAAAACAAAGAAAAGCAGAATTCCCTCTTTTCTATGTCAAAAGGCCATATTCTATATTCCTTCATCAAATAAACCCCTACCATTTTGGAGCAGTCTTGAAATATAGTCTCAGGATGGCATTAATCTGAGAAAATACAACTAAAAAAAAAACATAGGTATTCATAGACTCACAAAAAACATGAACAGGAGGAAAGAAGTGAGGCTCTCACCGCCAAAATATATAAGAAATACCTTTAAATTCCTATGGAATTAAAGCAATTAATTCCATAGGAATTATCCATTCAAGTAAAGGCAAGGAGGAAACTGAGCTTGAAAGTGACTCGGCAGATCAATGTATAAAGTTAAAAAGTTATCAGAAATCTCATTATTTTTATTTAATTTAGACCATCTGTTTACAATTAGTAATGTTTATTGTTTTGATTTACATACTTACCATACCACACGACCACCAAAGTGCCCAAGAATCACTAATGTCCTTATACTTTGAAAGCAAAGATAGAAAACTATCCAGTTATCTCACCAATACTTACAAAATTGGTATTGCGGACTGGGTCCTTAAGTGCTAGTAAATTAATCTTCCTAGATTTAAATTATTTATGACTGCACGGTAAAAATTTAAAAGAAAAAAATCCAACCATATCCAAAAAATGGGAAAAAGAGATGAACAGAAACTTACTCAAAGAAGAAATACAAATGGCTAAAAGGCACATAAAAAATGCTCTGTATCTTCAATCATCAGAGACACGCAAATCAAAACAACAATGAGATATCATCCCACATCGCATATGTGGGTACACATCATAAAGAACAAGAGCAATCAGTGCTGGTATGGATGTAGGGAGAAAGGGACTCTCATTCACTGCTGATAGGAATGCTGACTGATGTAGCCTTTCTGGAAAACAACATGAACATTCCCCCCCCCCAAAAAAAAATACCCTAGGAATTGAGCTTCCATTTGACCCAACAACTCCCTTTCTTGAAATAGACCTCAAAGGTCAAAAAACAAAATGTAGAAAAGACATTTGCACCCCTATGTTCCTTACAGTACTATTCACAATAGCCAAAATCTGAAAACAACCCAAGTGTCCAAGAATAGATGACTAAATAAATAAATGATGGTACTCATACATGATGGAATACTACCTGGCCACAAGAAAAGATAAAGTCATGCAATTTGCTGCTAAATAGAGGGACCTGGCAATATCATAATGAGTGAAGTTAGCCAGAAGGAGAGAAGCCAATACAGAATGATCTCTCTCATGTGTAGGATACAAAGAAATACAATGGTGGAATAATGAATATCCAAAGACAGTGGAAAGAAAGAATATGAAAACTGAATACCACTGGAAGGGATTCTGGGATGAGAAAAAGGGGAAGGGAAAACACCTATGGTGGAGGGAAGCATTCAAATAGGAGGAGGTGATGTTAAAAGGAAGGTATCCTATTAGCAACAGCATTGTAACTCACATGCAAAACATACACATATACACATACATATGAATAATACACTCATTTGATTTCACCCATTTGTATGCACATGGAGCGATAGCCCAGCGGGTAGGGCATTTGCCTTGCATGCAGCTGACCCGGGTTCGATTCCTCCATCTCTCTCAGAGAGCCTAGCAAGCTACCGAGAGTATCCCACCCACACGGCAGAACCTGGCAAGCATAGCATATTCAATATGCCAAAAACAGTAACAACAAGTCTCACAATGGAGACGTTACTGGTGCCCACTCAAGCAAATTGACGAACAACGGGAGGACAGTTCTCTCTCTCTCTCTCTCTATATATATATATGTATATATACGTGTATATACATGTATATATATATATATATATATATATATATATATACACATCACTGTCCTCCGGTTGTTCATCAATTTGCTCGAGTGGGCCCAGTAATGTCTCCATCATGAGACTTGCTTTTACTGTGTTTGGCATATCGAATACGTCACGGGTAGCTTGCCGGGCTCTGCCATGCGGGCGAGATACTCTCGGTAGCTTGCCAGGCTCTCCAAGAGGGGCGGAGGAATCGAACTCGGGTCGGCCTTGTTGGACGCTTGCAAAGCAAACGCCCTACCTGCCGTGCTATTGCTCCAGCCCTTTATGTACATGGTCATGGTCACGGCCCTCCCGTTGTTCATCGATTTGCTCGAGCAGGCCCAGTAACGTCTCCATCATGAGACTTGTTGTTACTGTGTTTGGCATATCGAGTACGTCACGGGTAGCTTGCCAGGCTCTGCCATGTGGGCAAGATACTCTCGGTAGCTTGCCGGGCTCTCTGAGAGGGGCGGAGGAATCGAACTCGAGTAGGCCATGTTGGCTGCGTACAAGGCAAACGCCCTACCGCTATGCTATCGCTCCAGCCCATATGTACATATATACGTATATATGTATATATATACACATTTATATATCCAATTCCCTCCGCCCCCATTTCCCTCCCACCCATAAGTCTGTTTCTAATCAGGTGAAGAGATTGGTGTTCAAACATTATATGCCTGAAGCCAAATCATGAATAACTTTTTAACTTCTCAGTGATTAAATAATGTTTTAAATAACAATAAATGAAAATAAATTTACTGCTGCAGATAAAACTAGAGCTGAGTGAAATAGAAAAAGAATCATCAGCCTGGGCAACAAGAAAGTTGCCCATCTACGCAAATAAACTATTAGCACTTAACTCAAGTTCTCATAAAAAGAAAAGAAAATTTAGAATAGCTTAAATTCATAGCACTGATTTTTTCTTTTAGTATTAATTTTTTATTTTATTGAATCACCATGAGACAGAGCATTACAAAGCTATTCATGATTGGGGTTTCAGTTCCAACACCCATGCCTCCACCAGTGTTATTTCCCAGCACCAGTGTCCCCAGATTCCCTCCCACCCCCACAAAACCAACCCCCACCCCAGTCTGCCTCTATGGCAGGCACCTCTCTTCTCTATTTCTTTTTATCTTTCTCTCTCTCATTTTAGGCATTATGGTTGCAGTACAGACACTGAAAGGTTATCATGTATATTCCTTTACCTACTTTCAACACTCAGTTCTTGTCCAGAGTGACCATTTCCAACTAATATTGTCATAATGGACCTTCCTCTATCTTAACTACCTCCAACCCTCACATCCTTGTTGTAATTTCCAACCAATGACCAGTCCTCCTGACTCATTTTCCCTAGGTTTGGATATTATTTTTATACTATATATGCATATTTTATATCTCACAAACGAATGCAGTGATTCTATATCTGTCCCTCTCCTTCTGACTCATTTCACTCAGCGTGTTACTCTCCAAGTTCATCTATTTATAGGCAAATTTCATGACCTCATTTTTCCTAAGAGCTATGTATTATTCCATTGTGAAGATGTACCACAGTTTCTTTACCCAGTCATCTGTTCTTGGGCACTCAGGTTGTTTTCAGATTCTGGCTGTGGTGAATAATGCTGCAATAAACACAGAATTGCAGTGGTGCTTCTGCTGTGTGTTTTTGAACCCTCAAGGTATATTCCCAGAAGTGGTATTTCTGAGTCAAATGGCATCTTAATTTCTAGTGTTTTGAGGAATGTCCATATTGTTGTCCAAAAAGGCTGGAACAGTCAGTATTCCCATGGGTAATGAATAAGGGTTCCTTTCTCCTCACATCTGTACCAGCACTGATTTTTCTTGTTCATCTGGATGTGTGCCAGTCTCTCTGGTGTGAGATAAGAAATCACTGTTGTTTTGATTTGCACCTCCCTGATGGGATGTAGAGCATTTTTCATATGCCTTTTGGTCATTCAAATTTCTTCTATGAGAATGTTTCTGGTCAGTTCTTCCCCTCATTTTTTTATGGAATTGGATAAACTTTTTTTTGTAAAGTTCTACCAGTGCTGTGTGTATCTATTCCATGGGCTATCTTTTTATCTTGGTCACTGTTTCTTTGGATGTGCAGAAGCCTCTTAGTTTAATGTCTCACTTGTTAATCATTATAGCACTAATTTTTCTTCAAGTCTGAATCTTATTTCTATTCAGCTTTTATACAAAGAGTTCCATATTTTGAGTATATAAAATATTCAAATTCAAGAATTTTAACTAATACTAGACTATAATGAAAAATAACAATGAATAATGCATGACATTCCAGTAACCATTTAGACTTATTTTAGAGAATCATACACATATTTAATCATAAAAGCCTTTCATCACAATAAAATGTTAACTATATTTTTTTATTTACCAGAGCTTTCACTTTCTGCCCAGAGAGCTGCAGATCCAGATAAAGTTCTTTGAAGTTGTCCCCGGTTTCCTTGTTTCGACTGAAGATGGTCAATGAGAAACGGAATTGGCTGGTCAGGTGTCTCAGTAATTAACTTGGTCATTAATTCCTGAGGACAGAAGAGAGAATAAAATCATATTCAATTATAAAATGAACACATATAGCACTATTGCTAAGTATTTTCTAATTGCTTTCTCTTTTTTTAAATACAAATATATATGAAAAAATTTAACCTCATTGACAATATTTTATGCAAATATAAATTCAATGCAATGAAATAAATTCAAAGCACAAAGCAGTAAATTGTTTATGTTAGACAGCAAATGCATGGCAAGGTCAAGAAATATATATATATATGTGTGTGTGTTATATGTAATTGGCCATTCTTGAAATTTCATCCACATTATTTTGAAAATAGACAGTTTTACAATTTTAACTTCAGAGATCGATGCTAAATAATTTATAAAGGATGGGAAAAGCATGCTGAAAGTAGTCTATAGACCAAACATGATTATTGCCACTCAATGTGTCTTTTGCAAACCACAACACCCAAAAGGAAAGAACAAAAGGGAATGCCCTGCCACAGGGGCAGGATAGGAAGGGGGGAATGGGGGGTGGAGGGATACTAGGACCCGTGGTGGTGGAAAATGGGCACTGATGGAGGGATGGGTATTTGATCATTATATAATTGAAATCCAAGCACAAAAATTTGTAAGTCTACATCTGTACCTCATTGTGTTTCACTAATAAAAATTTTTTAAAAAATTTAAAAATTTAAAAAAATAAATTTTACTTTATTTTAAAAATAAATAAATTATAAACCTTATCATATACCTATTATACTAATGTCAACTGTACTTCTTAATCATATATAAATATAAAGAAGTGAAGAAAGGATTGTTGGAATAAAAAAAAAACATAACAAGTAATAGAGTCACAAAACCAAAAAAAATTTTAAATTTGTGCCCAAATGCAGAACTTCCTTTTTTTGAAAGCCCTGATGAATATTCATTCATTTTCTTTTCCACCATTTTTTAAACGGGTTAAGCAATAGCAAGTTTTCTACAAGCAAATGCAAGTTATTCCATTTCAGAATAGGTCAAAAGTCCCTTAAATTGGTAAGAAATCAGCCTTGGGGTAACATCTACACATTGTTTTCTTTTTCAGTCAGGAGCAGCAAAAAATCAAACTTCAATTTGTGGTCCATTAGTATCTCCAGATTGTTCTCACATGAACAGCTGTCAAACCACGTAGATGTCATTTTTGGCTGTGAAACTGGGTTTGTGAACCCAGTTACCCATTTTACATTCGTATCAGTCATGTTTCATCTTGTTTCTAGCCCAGAATCCTCGCCTGCCAATTGTCATTTTAAGTTCAGAATCAGTAAGAGGCAGTGGCTGTGAGGAATACAAAATGAGACCAGGAGTCAAAACTGAAGGAATACTGGAAATATGTCCTTTGTTGTCTTTTCTGTTGGTGGTCTGTTTCCTGATCTTGGATAATCTTTCAGATATTCAGATGATAGCCTATTATCATTCCTCTCCAACCACAGGTTCCTACAGTGGCTTCTCCTAACCAGTCTTCATAATTCTCTATCATTTTTCTCCCCAGCATTTAGCACTCCCCAGGATCATGTAGCTTGGTACTTGCGCATCTCTCTATGCTACTACAGCATTAAAAACAAGATTTGGTCTGTTTTGACTTCTACTGTCTCCCTTTGATCTAGAACTTGACCTAGTTCATAGTTGGTGTTAAATATCTACTGAATGAATAGATTAATGCCTGATATATTGACCAGAGATAAATATTAGTAATTAGAGTCCTGTATCATATCAGTAAAACAAGAAAATATTTGTAGATACCTCATCTGAGCAAAACTATAATCTTCTAACCTCCTATATAAGTAAATAGTGATGAAATCTCAGAGACATGTGCTGGTATTTATAGCATTCTAGAAACATAGGAATTTATTTGAGTAGTGGCTATTTTGTAGATGAAAGGATTACAAGTTGATCTCAGAGAGGTAGATAAAATAATTCAAGCTATCTCTAAAACTTGAGTATTGAATAGAATTGGTACTGTAAAGAGTAATGTTTTTCATTTATGAATATATTTTAAGCAAAATATTTAACAAACATAACACTCAATCATACTCTGCAAAACAGATAAAGCAAACAACTAAGTGACACAGGTCTTCTTTATTTCTATTATTCTATTAAAATGTCAGTTATAATAGCCACATGTAAAGAGGTCATTCCTGCTTACTGTGATAAGTAATTCAGGACTCGCTTGAGCTCTAATTATACATACATCAATGGAATGCAATTTAAAACATTCAGTTTTGCTTCTGTAGAAGAGATGGATTGTGTTCTATTAAAATTAAGTGCACGTCACAAAAGCTATGAGAAAACAGAGAGTAAAACAGAAGGTCCAACAAGATTCCTCTGGTTTCAGAAGGCCTGGACACTTAGATAAAGCAAAATTAGGTCAGGTAACAGGGTTTCAAAGCCACAGCAATTTCTATTCTGAAACCTCTGAAGAGCTCAAGCACTCTTTTTTAAACTTTCAAATTACATAGAAAGTGTCGAGTTATTCATTTTAGTTTTAAATAGACTGAAGATATGGGAAATAGTAAGGATTGGGCATATGCCTCGCATCTGGCCAACTCCAGGTTGCTTCGTTGCTACCAAGTGGTTCCCCAGAAACACTGGATGTACCACTGGAGGTCCCACATGCCATGGAGGGGTGTCCCAGGTCATTCCTAGCACATCACCTAGTAGGGTCAAGAAACACTACATGCTCGACCCTCTCACTGAACTACACTGGACCAAATGGCCTGAACTGCAGGCAGGGAATGGTACCCAGGGCCAACTTGGAATACCAGGAAGGCCAAAAATATACAAACTAAAATAAAATAAAACGGGGAGTGAAAAAATAATTTTAAAATAAACTGAAGTGTCCCTATCAGTGTCTGTAGTTGAGCATTTATAACTATAAAAAAATAAGTCATCACTGTTATCTCTTTAAATATTACCAGTCTAATAACTATAGTTTTTAAATTCCATAAAACACATGAGATAAAAGACAGAACAAATTCAGTCAACACCAAAAATGAATTGTTATTTCTGCAGTAAGGAATATCAGTAGCTTGTTGGGACAAAAGTCTAGTTTCAATTATTGCATTTGTAAGATAAATTGTCCTTCCTCACACTCAGTCCACGTATACACTAGCATCTGGGCTTCATTGATTTTTAAATAAACTTTACAGAAATCTTTTCTTCAAACATAAACATTTAAACCCTTAAATTTACAAATAAGCTTCTGTAATTAAAAGAAAGAAAGAAAGAAAGAAAGAAAGAAAGAAAGAAAGGAAGAAAGAAAGAAAGGAAAAGATTGACACCACCCCTCCAAGAAAGAGACACAGAGAAACAGAAAGAGAGATAGGGGAGGGGGGAGGATTAACAGATTAAGGAAAAAAGAATGGAGTCATGGTTGTGTGCATAGGAAGATCAAGATAAATATAAGTATTAATTTAGTGTGATCTTGTTTGCAGTCACGGGCTAATTAAATTTGGGATATTCAAGCTGAAAAAAAAATATATTAGCAACTGTCAGCAACAGAGGATTTAATTCATAATAAAGTTATATCAATAGTTTCATAGATATAAACAAAATAAAATGGAAGATACTGAATAAACAATAGCACAGCAGTAGTGTGTTTGTAGTCGACCTGGCCGAGCCAGGTTCTATTCCTCTGCCCGTAGCGGAGAACCCAGCAAGCTATCAAGAGTATCTCGCCCTGCACGGCAAAGCCTGGCAAGCTACCCATGACGTATTCAATATACCAAACACAGTAACAAGTCTCACAATGGAGGCGTTACTGGGCCTGCTGGAGCAAATCGATGAACAATGGGAGGACAGTGCAGGACTGAATAAAGCTGATTAGATGCAGGCAATGAATCAGTGGCGTATTAGTTTAATCAAATCCTCTAGTACCAGTAAGACTACTAGGTAAAGGCACTTAACTAATTGAGTCATTATTATAACTATCATTGTTATATTTAGTTTGGGGACCACATTCACTCAGGACTTACTCCAGACTCTCTGTTCAGGGATCACTCCTGGTGGTGTGAAGGGACCCTCTTTGGTGTATATGTTTACATGCAAGCACATTTTTCATAATACTGTTGTATATTTACCCATCAGTGGCTTATTTCCTAAGATTTAATTCACTATAGGTAAGATTATCTTGCCCTATGGGCTGGATAGATGGTACAGAAGTTAAGGCACTTGCTCCTGGCCAATCCCAAGTTCAATTAATTCCCCAGCCAAATGATACCCAAGAGATTCCCTGAGTCCACAAAATCTCTGAAACCACAGAACCAAACTGCACCACACTCTTTTCTCCTGACCCTCCTGAACACTGCTTGGGAGTGCCTTCAAAAATAAAATATTTCCTGCCCTAGGGTTGGGGAGATGACTTAAAGGATTGGAGTTCATATGGCATGGCAGTAACCCAGATTTGATCCCAAAGGGCTGGAGTGATACCACAGCATGTAAGATGTGTTCCTTGCACATGGCTGACCCAGGTTCGATTCCCAACATTTCATATGGTCCCCTGAGCCCCACTAGAAATAATTCCTGAACTTAGAGGCAAGAATAAGCTCTAAGCATAACCAAGTATGGCCCAAACCACACCTGCCCTCCAAAGAAGAGACCTGATCCCCAGTGATGCATAGTTCCCTGAGCACTAATAGAAGTTATCCCCAGCAAAGAGCCGAAAGTAGCATTCCACCAGAGAACTGCTGGGAATGGAAGAAATAAACAAACAAAGGTTAAATCACATTCAGACATTTTGCCACTCTATGTAATTATTACTGACTTGTGAGCAGCACTGTAGCACTGTCCTCCTATTGATCATCGATTTGCTCCTGCGGGCATCAGTAACGTCTCCACTGTGAGACTTGTTGTTTCTGTTTTGGGAATATTGAATACACCATGGGGAGCTTGCCAGGCTCTGCCATGTGGGCAGGATACTCTCAGTAGCTTGTCGGGCTCTCCAAGAGGGATGGAGGAACTGAACCCATCAGCAGCATGCAAGGCAAATGCC